GAACAGAAAAGGAGCGGCCTAGCAGCACAAGTCACCAAAAAGGGATGACAAAATAATAAAGAAGGAAAAACGGAAAAGGAAAAAAGGGTTGAGGACATAGCATCCCTGCGCTGTCAAGAGTCCACCTCTCACATCTTCTGCTGTCTCACGGCTTCTGCTGTGAGAGGTGGGCAGGAATATGCACGCGGGGGCAACCTGCACCTGACAGCAAATGTGGCCAGAAGTGGACGAATCTGACTGCAATCACGTTCAGGACTTTGTAGTATGAGTAGGGCCTCAACTAAGGGGAAAAAAAAGCTTTGTGAAGCTGAAAATTGGACCACCGGTGGTCTATGTCGAGGAGCTGAGGTGGTCCAAATTTCAGATCAGATGGTCCAGTGGATCATGAGATATCGAAGATTTAGGGCGCGCCATGAAATTCGAGTGTATCGGGCGATGAGGACGACGGAGGCAGGGGACTGCGCCTAGCACACGCGCCGTGAGCCTAGGTCCTGGTCTTCGCCACGTCACTGGTTGACGTGTCCAGGGGACCGCCCCGTTTCACGGGGTCCACGCAAGATTCCCGCGCTGCCACGTAGCAAGCTGAAGTGGCAACAAGGCGCTTGAGGGAGATCGCAGTGGAGATAGCCCAAGGTGACATGGAAGTGTGTAATTCATAGTCTGAAGTACGCCAAGCTTGCAGATCGGAGTTATCACAGCATGGAGCGCGGTCCGTCATCAAGCTCGAGTTCGTCAACACTATCAGCAAGTCGTCATCAAGATTACTAGTCATCATCACTTGCGGCATCAACATAATGGATAATTTGTTGACATCCTCGTCATCATTACATCTCTATGGGTGTTTAGTCATTACTACAGTGATTTTCACCATCTGTAGTATTACGATCATCAGCACTATTATCCTCATAGCTATCATCTGTTGTATCACGATCATCAACACTATCATCCTCGAAGTTATCATCGGTAGGCGAAGTTGATCGCCACCACTATCTTTAGGCTACTGTTTCACTCAAATAGTCATCTATAACATTTCCATCATCATCACTACCATCATCAATATTAATATCATCTGAAAACCTTTTAGTCTGAGGGTACCGTTTTCGGCTACCCAATTATCCAATAGTCATTAATATTTACATCCTGATTAGCTATATCTTGATTACCTACATCTAGATTACCTATATCTTGATTACCTATATCCCGATTACTTACTTCTTGATTACTACTATTTGTAGTAGTAATTCCAGACATAACGTTTTCATGTTGGGATTGTTTAGTAATTTCACCACTAGGTTTTGCCCTGCCTGTTCCCCCTGATTGGGTGGGGTAAGGTGAATTTTCTTTATTTTATTTTTTCATGAGTTTTTTTCCTAATTGGGGATTTTGAACATTGAATTTTGCAGACGC